GGCACGCCAAGGAGCCCCTGCTCAGGCCCGCCCCGGCAGCGCCCGGCGTGGGGAACCGTCGTTACCGTCTCTCTCTTGAGCTTCTCCCGCTTGCGTATCAGCTCCACCAGCAAGCGCGCACGCTCGAGGTCATGGCGGAGGCGCTGCCATGACTTCAGCTGCTCCTTCAGGGCCCAGTTCTTATCCTCAGTGTCTCTCTGCAGGAACATCAGAGACCGTGAGCTCACAGGAGAAGTGTTCCCACCTCCACCTTCCTGGCTATGTGCTGCGGCTCCTCCCTGGCACTGGGATGCTGCCTGCCTGACCCACTGTTTCGGGGAAGATCTACGTTCCTTTGCTGGGAGCTAAGTGGGTGATGGGCACACAGGGACCCACAGACACCGTCCAACCTCTGACCAGAGCTGAATACTTGCTCTCAGATCACCAAGGCCTTAGAAAGCTCAAATGGAGACACCCTGAGGCCTGGAAATGCTCTTCCTAACATGACCCAGGGCGTGCAGCTGCCAAGGACTGCAGAGCAACAATGTCAACGTCTGGGCAGCTGCTCAGAGCTCTGGTGAAGAGCAGCAGTGCAAAGGGAAGACAACTCTGGGTACTTTGAGTTCTGGAAGTAACCAGAAAGTTCTGGAAGTTCTGGCAAAATCATTTTATTTTGCTGCTGTAGACAAAAGATGAGCAGAAACAGTTTCAACTCTTTTCCAGTAAATTAAAATGAGAAGGGGCAAGGCAGGGAAGCCTCTGCCACAGTCTTCAAAGGGCTCAGGAAAAAAAGACTTGGAGCTCTCCAATGGTGAGCCAAAATAAAAACCTTCCTCTCTGGCACTAGACACTTCACATCTGTAAGGCGCTGACTAACAACTGAGGCATGCAGAGGGCTGGAAGCAGCAGCCACAGGCAGTGCTCCTGTAGGGGCTTCAGAAACTGGAAGTGAGGCCTTCGTTTCTTCCAGACAGCGTTCCTAGAAATCACTGGCCATCCCTCTTAATACCCTGTCGCACGCTGGCCTCAAATTAGACCCGTTTCTGATAGCTTTGCCATAGCTGCCAGCTAGATGTGGGAAGGCGGAAGGCGCTGACTTCCTTGCTGCAGCGCGGCAGGGCAGGATTCCCTCTCCATGGCAGGCTGCCAAAGGCGTCACTATCTGGCAAATCCCTGAATGCTGGGAGCAGTGGAGAAAGTGAAGCAGCAAAAGCAGGCAGCTGGGGCTGCCCTTTCCTCACCGGGGAGGCTGAGCTCATCACAGGCCCCTTTCTGAGCCCGCAGGCACCACATGCAGCGAAGGCTCTGAGCCCAAGGCTCTGGAGATGCAGGAAGCACACAAAGACACCCGGGAGGCCCCTCAGCGTCCCCAAAAGCAGCCCTTACCTGGTCACAGTTCCTCTGTGACTGCAAGTGCGTCTGAAGGCGGCGTAGCAGGGGGACACCATTGCGGGACTGTCTTTTCAGAGTCCAGTAGCTGTGTAGCCTCTGCATGAACTGGCTCTTCCTCTGGATAGTTAAGCGGTTCGTAATCTTACTGAGCCTGAAGAAGGGAGAGGAACCACAAGCACAATTAACAAAACAAGCCAGCCCGCTGCAAGGAAAGCCCTCACAGGGGGGATGTAGCAGCTGAGCCACCAGGGAGGAGCTGAGCAGCTCCTTAGACTGAGGGCCCCCTTTTGTGTGGCAGCAAGTTACGCAGAGAGCCAAGTTACGCAGGGCAGCAGCACTACCGAGACATCAGGGAACGTTCAGTCCTGCCCCACTGAAACTGTCTTTTCCTTTCTATCTCCTGCCAGCTGTTCAAGCAAAACCTTGGAACAGGAGTGCAACACAGCAGAGATCACAGCTGGATATTTCAGCAGGTCCCCAAAGCCCCCAAGACTGCACACACTGCGATGCTGCTGCCCCCAAGCCCCTATTTACCCTGTTTCTATGACTAAAGGCCATTCAAGAGGGCAAAGGATCTGTCTGGATGTTACCAGGCAAGCTTGGCACTCCAAGGAGCTCTTTAACAAAGCAGCACGCTGAGATGAGGGGACAGGAGGCACCAGTGGAACAGAACTCGCTGTTTCAGCTAACGAACTACCACCCTAAAGGACCCAAAACACAACAGAAGGAGTTTACCTATTCTACACAGTGGCAGAAAGCCTGAAGAGACTGTGATAACCTCCTCCATCAGCATTGGAATGAGATGCCCTGCTGCTGGTGGGGAGTCAGATGCACGAACCCCCTGTATCTCCACATTTTGCAGGGACAGATCTTCACGCATGTTAACCCGATCTGCTTCACTCCCAGCTGCCAAGGCTGGAGACAGCAGCCTCATTTGCCATCTCTGGCCAGGCACAGCTCCCACAGGGAGACATTTGGCATTCTGGCAATAGACCCCTGAAGAAGAGTTAATCCCAACAGGAAGGCCTGGGGTGAGGTTAACAGCTTCTGTCTCAGTGTGGGTTTCACGGAGAGCACAATAATAGCAACAAGACGGTCGAAACAGCCTGCACAGAGCATACAAACAGCCTGCCAGTGCATCAAAACACGAGAAAAAGAGACGCTTCAGCAACAGTAACTCTGAAGAGTAACATAAGGACAGTCCATGAACAAATGATGGCAAAAAGCCATCAACTCTGTAGCAGAGCTCTGCTACAAGTCACCAGGACGCTGCCCGCAGAGCAAAACGAGTCTCTGCGGGTCTGCCTCCCCTGCCACCCCACGGCAGCCCCAAGGGTGGCCGAGGAGCTGCACGAAGGTGGTGGTCCCCCCATCTCCGGGCTGCCACAGGGGTGTCCGGGGGGCTGGCAGTGCCAGGTTTCACAAGGTCACACCTTTGGCACAGCTCTCCTGCTGCTCCCATCTCACCCCACGGGAAGGAGGAGAGCTCAGTGTAACCCAGGAGCGGTGATTCAGAACCCACAAACACCTTCCTGCACAACCCGCGCTTCGACTGCGAAACGCCTGCCCCAGCGTGACGAGGAGGTTTAAAGATGGACTGAAAAGACGTTTGCAAGCTGTAAATCACACCGATGCATTTTGGCAAGGCTCTGAAACGCCCCACTCCAGGATTTACAGAGCAGCTCAACGACCAGACCACAGCAACACAGCCCGTGGTGAGCAGGTTATTCTCCACCCCTAACCACAGGGTGTTCAGACCTTCCTGTGAAGCCCTTAGGGTTGGACTCGACAGAGACACGACCCCAAGCAAAGCTTCAACCCTCTTCCAGATGAGTGTCCACACTGCCCATATAGTGTCAAGCCAATTTCACCAAGTCATAGCGAGCAGGAGCCCCCGTCCTCTCTGTTCACCCCTTTGCACGCAGCAGGGCAGAGGCTGCTGCTGCTGAGACTCGTTCTGGGAGACGGCCCTGAGGGAGAGGCTGCTGAGCGGGGCCAGCTGCAGGCAGCACAAAACGCTGAGCGTTTGTCCCCGCGCTCGCTGGGGCGTAGGGATCTCCCCAAAAGTCTCGTACAAGAGAGACCTCTTTGCTCCAGAGTTGGGACTCAGCCAAAAGCAACCGCCTGGTTAGCCCAGTTCCTGGGCTTGGTCACTCGCATGTGGACAGACAGAGGACACTGGGCATGGAACTTCCCAGAGGTTCCACATAAAGAGCCAAAATGGGGCCCCAGACAGGAAAAAGAAAAAGCAGCATCAGAAAGAGCAGCAGCCCTGCCCTCTCCCCACCCCTGGTATTTACTCCAGTGTCCGAGGTCAGCACAACAGGAAAGGAGCTCTGGGAACCCCCAGCTGCTTCCTGACATGTCCAGCCTAGCTCATTCCCTGCCTGCCGTTAAACTAACAGCATCTACTTCCTGCGCCTCTGCGAGCCCGGACACCTCCACAGGGCTGTGCAGAACAGCAGAACTGCACATCACTGCTACCCCACGGGACTCCCAGGGGAAACACGAACAACCCTGGGCAAGAACAGAGCGAAAAGCACTTGGGCAAAAACGTAACATTAGTGACAACAAGATAATGTCTGTGTGCAAAGCAGAA